GGGTGGAAGCTGGGGATGGAAGCATTATTGGCCAAGGAGGTACTGAAGCCAAAGAGGATAGCTGAATGTCATGTTGACTGAAATAAGCCAGCTCATTTTGGGGCTGGAATCTGTCAAAGGGTAACCTAGCAAGAAAGTGGGGAGGGCAGAAGGGTGCTTCTCTCCCCAGCTGTGATGAGAAAGAGAGAAGGAGAGTTTTGTTTTAAAAGCAAGTCCTTTAATCGAGCCTGCATGGATTAGGAATGCCTTGTCCTCATTGCATCCATCCAATCAATTGTTCACTCAACCTTTAATTGTGGACAAAACATGAGCCATCACGGACAGAATATAAGATCCCAGAGCAGTCTCCTGTCAGCAGGACCTCACATGACCCCCTTTCAGAAGGGCATGATGGGGTTGCGACACTGTGCATGTTGAACCATGGGAAAGCTCTCCCCCCCTCCCCCACAGATAACATCATGGTTAACATGCTATGATAGCAAGGTGAACCATGATTTGGGGGCCTGGTTGAGTAGGCAGACTTGCCACAAGGTTCAATGTTCACCATGTACTTGGATGATCCACATCTCATGCCACTGAAAAGCATGACTCTCAATCCCTGCAATGACCCCTTCCCTTCAAAATAAAGATGCTAAAACTGCACCACTAGATCCGCAGCAGCTGGACTAAACATGCCTCCTTCCTCAGCATGCACAGGAAAAAAAATGAATGAGGCCTTTGTCTAACCTCATGCCCTGTGAATGGGTCCAAATGGACGGTTGCCCCAGCAAGCAGAGAAGCCAGTCTGAACCAGTTTGGGAGACCGGATTTCCAAAAGAATAAAAATACCACAATCCCCATTGCCAGCTACAGAGAGGAGAGACCTGCAGGCATGGGTGTAAAACCCCCCGAAGTTTGAGGAACTATCTTTCTTTTGGATGCTAGGTAGACATTGCAGATCATGAAAGGAAGAACGTCCACTCACACACAAGTTGTCATGCCACAAGTACAAGCTCCATGATGCAGACTGAGCAACCCAGGGTAATCCATAGGCTTGCTTTGTGAATTGTTTCAATGCCCACCTGTTCTACATTCCTTTAATTTCCCACTACCACCAGTAATAAATGGACGATTTATGAGAAGTGAACACTGAGCAGTGTTGCACGGTTAAGGGAGTACGACCTGTAGGGAACCCATCAAATGAAGGGGGGGGGGGGGGGGGGACTCTGTGCCAGGACACTCCTCGTTTCATTCTTGTGTTCCTTCCCCTAAGGGATCTGGGGATCTGTTTCTCCAGCATTGAAGGGAAGAACTGGTAAAGGTCATAAGAGGAGTTTGGTTGCTACTTGGAGGACAAGAGTAGAAGAAGAAGAAGAAGAGATTGGATTTATATCCCGCCCTTCACTTGGAGTCTCAGAGCGGCTTACAAACTCCTTTCCCTTCCCCTCCCCACAACAGACACCCTGTGAGGTGGGTGGGGCTGAGAGAACTCTGACACAAACTGCTCTTTTTCAAGGTCAGCTGTGCCAGAGCTTGTGACTGACCCAAGGTCACACCAGCAGGTGCAAGTGGAGGAGTGGGGAATCAAACCCGGTTCTCCCAGATTAGAGTCCGCACACTTAACCACTACACCAAACTGGCTCTCACAGTATCCATACCCATTTAGGGCAGCAGTGCCACCAGCTCTCCTAGCATCGGGGTACCAAAGCAGCATGTAGCCCAAAGGGTTATATGTGTGCAAGCCTTGAACCATCTTTACATGTGACAGTCTGTTTTCCTGCCAGAGACCTGGAAGGATTCTGGGAATCTCAAATGCACCACAACCACTGCAGGAGCATCTGGTTTTGTTTGGGAAAACGGAGTTGCAGAATTTAGCCTGGGATGTTTTAAGGGTTTGCCTTCCACACAGCGCAGCAGACTGCCCTCTCGCCAGGGGCTCACAACACCATTTTGCTTGACACCTTTTAAATTCTTTTTTTGTTTTAAACACTTGTAGGTCGCCTTTCCACCCAGCACAGAGTCTCCAAGGCAGAGAACAAGCAAAACAATGTTTCAAATGCAGATACGAATGCATAAAACATTTCCAACAATTAAAGGAAACATATCAGCTCACAAACACACACCCCTCAGGTCTCCGCTCTGTTTGTGGCACTTTCTCGCTTGAGGCCAGAGGGCCTGTGTTTGCCACAAGCTGAGCTGCCGTTTTGCAGCCCACAACAAAACCTTCCCAGGAGGGTCTGCAGTTTGCAAGAAGTGAGCTCTCATGGAAACGGGAGTCCCTGGCCCTCCTCCTCCCTGGGACCAGAATGCCAGCGACCCCAATGCCTGTATGGAAAGGACCCGCTCTTCAGAGCAGCTATGGGTCCTCCCTTGGTTGGTGTGTATGATGTGTGTGTGTGGGTGTCATGCTCTGCAACCCGGAGCTACGGCTCCAGACACCCAAAGGGAGGTGAAGTGGCTATTTCAGTCCACAGAGTTCACTGAGGCCAGAGGTGACAAAAATGGTCCCAAAGATCAGACAAACTCAGGGCAGAGGGAGGAAAGGAATCTCTGTGGTCAGAGACAGGATACCTGTGGGGACAGGCAGGCTTCCCACCCCCCTGTGGGCTCCCCAGAAGCATCTGCCTCCTTAA